TTGACCATTCTTCCGAAGCGCATTTGTGAGGTCAAGCACGGATGTCGGGCGAGGTGGCCTGGCTAGCAGTCTCTGCTCTAATTCATCCTAAAAGGTGTTCTATCGGGTTAAGGTCAGGACTCTGTGCTGGCCAGTCAAGTTCCTCCACCCCAAACTCACTCACTCATGTCTTTATGGACCTTGCTTTGTGCACTGGTGTGCTGTCATGATGGAACAGGAAGGGGCCATACCCAAACTGTTCCCACAAAGTTGGGAGCATGAAATTGTCCAAAATGTCTTGATATGCTGACACCTTAAGAAAGTTCTCTTAACTGGAACTAAGGGGAGAGCCCAACCTGTGAAAAACAACCCCACACTATAACCCCCCCCTCCACCAAACTTTACACTTGGCACAATGCAGTTAGGCAAGTACCGTTCTCCGCCAAACCCAGACACGTCCATCAGATTGTCAGACAGAGAAACGCGATTCGTCACTCCAGAGAACACGTCTCTACAGCTTTAGAGTCCAGTGGCGCACTTTACACCACTGCATCTGACGCGTTGCATTGCACTTAGTGATGTAAGGCTTGGATGCAGCTACTCGGCCATGGAAACCCATTCCATGAAACTCTCTACACACTGTTTTTGCGCTAATCTGAAGGCCACACAAAGTTTGGTGGTCTTTAGCTATTGACTCTGCAGACAGTTGGCGACTTCTTCACACTGTGCGCTTCAGCATGTGCTGACCCCGCTGTCATTTTACGCGGCCTACCACTTTGTGGCCAAGTTGCTGTTGTTCCCAGTTGCTTCCACTTTATTATAATACAACTAACAGTTAACAGTGGAATATTTAGTGGCAAGGAAATTTCACGGATGGACTTATTGCACAGGTGGCAACCTATCACGGTACCACGCTTGAATTCACTAAGCTCCTGAGTGCGACCCATTCTTTCACAAATGTTTGTAGAAGCACTCTGCATGCCTAGATACTTCAGATTTTATACACCTGTGGCTATGGAGGTGATTGGAACACTTGAATCCAGTGCTTTGGAGAGGTGTCCCAATAGTAGGATGGTGATCATATAAAGCCATTTATTATCAAATAGTTGTTTGGCTCCTGTTTAAATCATAATGATAACAGAAATCACCCAAATGGCCATGATCAAAAGTTTACATACCCTGGAATGTTTGGCCTTGGTACAGACACGCAACGTGACAACATGGGTTAAAATGCCAATGAGAGGTTAATATCCCACATCTGTGGTTTTTTAACTTGCAATTAGTGTCAGTGTATAAATAGTCAATGATTTTTTTAGCTCTTACGTGGAAGCACTGACTAGGCTAGATAGTGAGCCATGGGGATCAGAAAAGAACTGTCAAAAGTTCTGCGTAACAAGGTAATGGAACGTTATAAATGTGGAAAAGGACATAAAAAGATGTCCAAAGCCTTGAATATGCCAATCAGTACTGATAAATCACCTATTAAGAAGTGGAAAGTTTGGGGATCTCTTGATACCAAGCCAATGTCAGGTAGACCAAGAAAGATTGCAGCCATAACTGACAGAAGAATTGTCCGGGATTCAAAGAAAAACCCACAGGCAACCTCAAAAGAAATACAGGCTGCATGGTCAATGTGCCAGAAACAGCCTTTACTGCACCAATGCAACAAAAAAAGCTCAGTTGCAATATGCTTGCCAACACCTTGACATGCCTAACCAGGCCTTTTTGTGTCATTGATGCAGTAAAGGCTTCTATCTGGCACCTCGACCATGCAGCTCATTTTTGTTCAAGTGCCATCATATTGTGTTCTTTCAAAACAACCATACTATCTTATTCCAGAGCAGGCTGTATTTTTCTTGTGGTTACCGAATGCCAAAGTATGCAAACTTTAGAGCACAAATGTAATATATATATATATATTACACATTTTACACACACATATACATACATACATATATACATACATACATACATATATTTGGACACAGGCACAATTTTATATTTTTCCAGGTATTTACCAGAACATATTCAAGCTATAGTTATATAATAGATATGGGCTGAAAGTGCACACTCCCAGGTTTAATTTGAGGATATGTACATCCAAATCGGAGGAAGGGTTTAGGAATTATCGCTCTTAACAGTAGCCATCCCCCCTTTTCAAGGGACCAAAAGTAATTAGACAATTGAATCAACAATTGTTTCATGGCCAGGTGTGGGCTACTCCTTTTTTTATTTCTTCATCAATTAAGCAGGTAAAAGGTCTGGAGTTGATTCTAAGTGTGGTATTTGCAATTGGAATCTATTGCTGTGAACCTAAATCATGCGTTCAAAGGAGCTGTCCATGCAAGTGAAACAAGCCAATCTAAGGCTTCAAAAACTAAAATCCATCAGAGAGATAGCAGCAACATTAGGAGTGGCCAAATCAACAGTTTGGTACATTCTGAGGAAAGAAGAACGCACTGGTGAGCTCAGCAACATAAAAAAGGCATGGACATTCTCAGAAAACAACAGTGGTGGATGACCGCAGGATCCTCTCTATGGTAAAGAAAAACCCAATCACAACATCCAGACAATTGAAGGACACTCTCCAGGAGGTGGGCGTATCATTGTCAAAGTCTACAATCAAGAGAAGACTTCACGAGAGCAAATACAGAGGGTTCACCACAAGGTGCAAACCATTCATAAGCCTGAAGAATAGAAAAGCCAGATTAGACTTTGCCAAAAAACATCTCAAAAAGCCAGACCAGTTCTGGAAAAACATTCTTTGGGCGGATGAAACTAAGATTAATCTGTACCAAAATGACAGGAAGAAAAAGCTGTGGAGAAGTCTTGGAATAGCTCATGATCCAAAGCACACAACGTCATCTGTAAACCATGGTGGAGGCAGTGTGATGGCATGGGCATACATGGCTTCCAGTGGCACTGGGTCATTGGTGTTTATTGATGATGTGACAGAAGACAGAAGCAGCCGGATGAATTCTGTAGTGTTTAGAGATATACTGTCAGCACAGATTCAGCCAAATGCAGCAAAAGTTGATTGGACGGCGATTCACAGTACAGATGGACAATGATCTAAAACACACTGCAAAAGCAACCCAGGAGCTTTTGAAGGAAAAGAAGTGGAATATTCTGCAATGGCCAAGTCAATCACCTGATCTCAACACAATTGAGCATGCATTTCACTTGCTGAAGGCAAAACTAAAAGCAGAAAGACCCACAAGCAAATAACTGAAGACAGCTTTGGTTAAGAGCCTAGCAAAGCATCAGAAAGGAGGAAACCAAGTCTTTGGTAATGTCCATGGGTTCCAGACTTCAGGCATTCATTGTCAATAAAGGATTCTCAACAAAATATGAAAAGTTAACATTTTATTTATGATTATATTCATTTGTCCAATTACTATTGGTGCCTTGAAAAAGGGGGGGTTGGCTACTCTTAAGAGCTGTAATTCCTACACCCTTCCTCCAATTTGGATGTAAATACCCTCTAATTAAACCTGAGAGTGTGCACTTTCAGCCCATATCCATTATATAACTATATCTTGAATATGTTTTGGTAAATACCTGAAAAAAATCTAAAATTGTGCCTGTGTCCAAATATATACATGGACCTAACTGTATACACACACACACTGCATGCAGTATTTCAGTCATTGTTTTATCTGTTACATTCAGTCTTTGTTTCCAGAAATTCCCTAACTAGGCGTTTTTTATATTACATTTCCATTAACTAAATGTAGTAGACTATTAGCATACAGTGAACACATTTTCTACAAGTACAAGAAATGCCTTACAAACCCTTAAACTTAAAGTTCTAGCTTGGAGAGTTGCACAAATAAATAAAAATAGTATTAGCCTATACTACCAGAACAGCCACATTTGGGCATCTAGAAGTTCTGCGCTAAGCAAAATTGTGAATCGGAAACAAAGATGGCCGAGATAATAAACAATACTTTGGACCATGGGGTGTAAAAAAGTATAATACTGCAAAGTGTAGGATAGGCATTCAATTTCCTGTACAGGAACAATGAATAAAGTACACCAACTGTCATCACTTGTGGACTTGCTGGGGAATCTAAATATATTAGTGTATGCTGTGCTGAAGAACTCTCTACATTACACTAAGCAGTAATGCAATTCTGGTGACTTGGGCCTCTTTCTACCTGCAGTAGCGTCTATAGGCATGTTCAGCAGTGTATTTGCAGTAAGTATATTGTACAGCAGTCTATAGTATTATGCATGTCTATGCGTTTATTTGATAAACCTCTGCACCTTTCCCTGGAAACCCAAATTAGTCCCTTGTAATGGGTTCTTCTTTCTGGTAACTTGGCAGTCTTTTAAGATGCAGTAGTCTCTTGCAATATAAACCTTTTTTTGTAGTGTGCATTGATAAAAGGCACGTTTCTGTAAGTATATAGCTATGCAAATCAGTTTGAGTGGCAAGGACAAACAGGTTTAAAAAGTATGTTGTAGGGGTTATGTAACATGGTGATTTGTTGTAATGTGCAAAATCCTCTGTACCATGGCAATCTTATGTAAGATCCACATATTGTTAGAAAAATGGCAACTTATGTGGGCATTTTTGATAGATTTAAAATGCAGTTCTTGAATTTTTTTATATGGATTTATGAAAGTGTATGCTACAAACGATCTCTGCCTGATCTATATGGCCTGTATACACTAACCCTTAATATACAACTGTAGCACATTAGCGGTAAAGTTGATTTTAAACAAAGTTGCAAATAGAAGCTCTGCTGGTCAGGTTGAGACCCAGGTATACTCTTTTTTTCAAATGTATCTTGCCGGTCGCATGTTTAGGCCTCCAAAATATGTAGATAGGTAAGACCAGAGAGCGAAATTTCCCCAGTGGTTTAACAGTGCAATGTACTAGCCACAGAAGTTCCTATGTCACTTTTGGTTAAAATGAGACCTTATCCTTTTAAGGATATGGAGAGGCAAGTAATTCAGCAACAGCTAAGGAACCTACAGAACTAATCTACTAGCCTCATTATAATTTAACTTACCTGTTACATTGAAGTTTGGGGCAACTGTGCTATCAGCCAGTGTGAACCATATCAGGCCAATGCTCATGCATACAGCTGCACTCACGTCTGCAGCATTATACCTCTTTCCTGTAGGTACAAAAAAAAAGTACAATTTATTTAGTATACATTTTTGCTATGCATACATTCTATTAACAAATTAAAAGTGCAGCTTGGGATGGCAACCAATCAGCAAACAATTACGGCTGATTAGAAAATCTGATTGGCTGCTATGGTAGCATTTTCCACATTATGATTGCCCTTTTTACTGCTTGTCACATAGATTTATCTTAATTTATGTAATCCAAAAGAAGCAACAGCTAAGTAATAAATTGTCTTAAATGAACTGGTCATTACCAAAAAAAACAAAAAAATTACCTTCACATGGATCTATAGGGACCATCAGGATTACCAAAACACATTTTTTAAGTTAAATAAATATTTTTGTACTCCCTGTAAAGTTTTTTTCTTGAATCGAGGGGTTCAAGGTTAAACTGCAGCCTACAGCAGGACTGCACACTGACAAGCAAAAACACTAAGTCAGTCCAGGATAATCCCTCCTACTACCAACATGCTTCAGTTTTGTAACATGATCATAAACTTTTTTTTAATCATTTTTTGAGGGACACAGAAAATCATTCACCTTTGGGATGTCCAAATGCAGTTCAGCTAGGAAAACTAGGAACTGGCTGCAATTCAAAGAGTTGTCTGAACAACCATACACCCAAAGCTGGCATCAGATGAGGCTCACAGCCTGAACCACATCCAGACAAAGGAGAACTGTCGCTAGATAGAGAGAAGAAAGATCAAATGTCTTAGTTGAGGCGAGAGGCAGAAATTACCTTGGGTAAAAAGGAAGTCCTAAGCCTCTACACCAGTGGTACTCAACCTTCCTAATGCCGCGACCCTTTAATACAGTTCCTCATGTTGTGGTGACCCCCAACCATAAAATTATTTATCCAGTAATTATAATTCATGAAGTGTCGTTTTACCTCCAATACTGCTGCTTTCAACACAGTAGCTGCTTTTAACAGAGTAGCTGCTTTCAACACAGCAGCTGCTTTTACACAGTAGCAGCTCTTTACACATCAGAAATATGTGTTTTCCAATGGTCTTAGCGACCCCTGTGAAAGGGTTGTTCGACCCCCAAAGGGGTCGCGACCCACAGGTTAAGAACCACTGCTCTACACCATCTTATTCTTATGCAACACTAGAAATGGCAGTTAATGGTCGTTATTTCAAACATAAGAAAGACTACCTTGTGGGTGGAAGTAGAGAGAGGAATGTCTCTAATGGGTATACCTTCTAAGTCCAATGAAAGACTTCCTATCTTTTAAGATTGTAGAAAACCACCAAGATGCTCCTGTCTCTGAGAACAGCCATGCCAACAACTGTAAAGCAGGAAGGTAAATTGGTTTTGTACATGGAAACAAATCTGTGTAGTGTGCAGTTAAACCAGGGTAGTCCACATCTGGCAACCCCGTCTGTGACAAGGTTTCTGTAAAACCTCTTGGCATAGGGATCACTGTCCAGGATATAGGTGTTGCTGGTTGAGGAAGTCCACGTGTCCATTGTCTATGGAGGTGATGTAAATGGTGGACAAGACTTGAATGTAAAGTTTTGCCCAGGAAAGGATCCTATCTACTGCTTCCTTTCTGAAGGTTGATGTATGCTCTGCTGTGGCATTGTCCAACTGAACTTCGGAATTGGATGACCTTCCAGCAGGATGGCCCAATGCTACAGTGACATTCAAATCACCCAAAGGTTATGCCATTTCTTTTTGAAGTTACTTCAGGACTAATGGAATAAGAAGGAACAGGGAAAAGGAATAACACAGTCAGAATATCAAAGATGGGCTAAGCATTCTTCTATTTATGGAAAAAGGTAGGAACTTTCCTGATTTGCGAACCGATGCACCTGCATTCACCTCAATCTGTCCAGGATGTAAAAAGTTTGTGATTTAAGGTCTATTTGAATTCCAGAGCATGAAGCCAGCTTATGAAGTTGGCCACCAAACTGAGAGTTTCCTTTAGTTGAACTGCTGTTAAGGCTGCCAAGTTTATCACTGACCATTACAGAATTTCCCCTGCTAGGCTAAACAGAACTTTGTTCTTGGTGCCTACCTCCACAGAATCACACTTTTTCAGGTGATATGCAGTGTGCACCGGATTTACAGGTAATCCTGGACCACACAGCTGATAAAGAAAAAGAAAAAATTCTTGGTCAAGAAGAAAGCTACCCAGGGTAAGTGTTGGGTGGTTTCTGAAATTTCAGAAGTCAAAACTTTTGCCCTCTCGTGCTTTTTCAAGACTACACCATTGATTTGATCCAGTGAAAAATAACACAGTGTAGCCCACTGCAATCATAAGAGTAGGAATGGACTCTAAAATCACTTACTTAAAAAGTTCTTTCTTCAAAATGAGATTTTATCTGGCCTAGCCACAAGTGGTGCCCATGGCAGGCTTAGGTTTTGAATAGAGCCTTTGATAAAGGGAATCCATCCACTTGTTTGTTGAATCCTTCAACATGCCTATGTCTTCAAAGGCTAGGTCTGCATTTTTAGATGCCTAGGTAAAGGCTACATGAAGTGTAGGCACCTTGTTTGATAATAAAGTAGAATCTTTGTCAAAAAGTAACCTTCTTTTGAGAGACTTGAAGAAGGAATGACACCATTCAGGATCTTGCCATTCTTTTTTCTAAGACCCTCCCAACTAAATGATACAAGAGGCACATTTGTTTTTTTTTTTTATTTAACAACAGGAAGAGGTTCAGTTTTTGTCTTAGAGACTTTGATCTGATATACAAAAAAAAAAAAAAAAACACAGACCAGCTGCCCAAATACTGTATTTGCCAGCAAACAAAAGTGTACTATCACTACACACCCTACTATGCCTAGAAAAAGGTGCACATCACCAAGGATTTAAATATTCAGACAGGCTGCAGACCACCTCACGGAGCGCCTCCTCTCCCATAAATGGCATTGCATGCCTCCGGGGGAAACTAACATCAAGGTGCAGAGGTCCAGAGAAAGTGTACACCTCCGCAGTTCCATGCAGTGCTCCTGCCATGCCGAATGAAATCTGTAGATCTGTGGTGAGGTACCTGCTTTCAAAGATTTGTACAGCACTGTTTTCTGTAAAATGAAGATGGAGCTATGCTTTTTCAGGTGTTGCTCTAAAAGATGTTTGGAGAAAATACAGAGGTTGGACACAAATATGAAAACAATACATTATTTGCAGGTGTGAAAGTGACGACATGTTTCACATTGAAAGCAGAAGTGATGTAACATTCTATTGCTTCCGGTGAGTGATGAGAAACCTAGCTAACAGGTGGGAAGCCTCACTTTCTTAATTCACTACGTACACTGCTAGTAATACAGAGTCAAGTCAGAGCTTACTGAGTTTCAGAGGGCAAATTGTTGGTGCCCTCTGTGACTGAAGTTGCCAATTTATTTGCGGTGTTGCGAGGTACAGTATCAAAAGGTTATGACGGCATATACAGTTTCCAGAAAAACCTTGTCTGATGAGCATACACATGGTCAACATGGCCTACTGACTGAAAGACACAAAAAGGACATTGCGCAGGATTGTGATCTGGAATAAAAAACAACTGCTGCAAACGTGACTACAGAGCTCAGTCTTCCAAAGCCCGTGTCCACAAAAACAAACAATGCGGAGGAAACTCAATAATAAAAACGTTCACGGGCAAGATGCAATTGCCAAACCACTAGTGACCCGATTAATGCTCAGAAGAGGAGAGAGTGGTGCAATACCCATAAATCGTGAACTATCAATAGAAGACTGTAATATGAGCCAATGAATTGAGCTTTCCACTGTTCCCAACCACCGGGCGTATTTATGTGTGCCAAACACTGTCCTAAGCTCACGACCAGGCTAAAGCATGGTGGTGGCACAATCATGATTTGGGCAGCCATATCTTAGTATTCTGCAGGCCCCATCATCATCTTGAAAGGTAGTCACTACCAGTGACTATGTACAAATTTTGGCTGACCATGTGCATCCCATGACCTCAATATCATACAGCCATTATGGTCAGTTTTGGAGAACAAGGTTTCAGGCTTGTTTTTAACCTCCAGCATCTCTGTGAGAACTGGAACATCTATTGCATGAAGAGTGGTATCAGATTCCATTACCCACCATCCAAGACTTCTATTTATTAATTCCCAGGAGAATTCAGGCAGTCTTGGATTCCAAAAGGTAGTTCAACACCATATACTTTTACCTGGTGTTTCCATAATTTTCTGCAACCCCTCTGTTTTTTTACCTCAAGCTTAGATAGCAAGACACAGTGGTCCTTGACTACCAGTTAACACAGCATGTTATCTCACTTAAGGCTGCAGAGAGACTACAGTTTCTAAGCCAGATATTGTATGTGGTACATTTGCAGTGAGATACAAGGATGAGTAAGGTACAACCAAAAATTGGAGGCTGTATATACACTGCTCAAAATAATTAAAGGAACACTTTTAAATCAGAGTATAGCATCAAGTCAATTAAACACCTGGGATATTGATCTGGTCAGTTAAGTAGCAGAGGGGGTTGTTATACAGTTTCATCTGCTTTGGTCTTAATGAAATTAACAGGTGCACTAGATGGGCAACAATGAGTCGACCCCCAAAACAGGAATGGTTTTACAACTAAAGGCCATTGACACTGTTTTCCCTACTCATCTTTTCTGACGGTTTTTCACTAGTTTTGCATGTGGCTAGGGTCAGTGTCACTACTGGTAGCATGAGCCAATACCTGCACCCTACAGTGATTGCACAGGCAGTCCAACTCCTCCAGGATGGCGCATCAACATGTGCCATTACCAGAAGGTTTGCTGCGTCTCCCAGCACAGTCTCAAGAGCATGGAGGAGAGATTCCAGGAGACAGGAAGACACTCTAGGAGAGCTGGACACTCTAGCAGGGCTGTAGAAGGTCCTTAACCCATCAGGAGGACCGGTATCTGCTCCTTTGGGCAAGGAGGAATAGGATGAGTATTGCCAGAGCCCTACAAAATGACCTCCAGCAGGCCACTGGTGTGAATCTCTGCGACCAATCAGAAACAGACTTGATGAGGGTGGCCTGAGGGGCCGATGTCCTCTAGTGGGTCCTGTGCTCCCTGCCCGGCACCATAGAGCTCGATTGGCATTTACCATTAAACACCAGATTTGGCAGGTCCTCCACTGGCGCTCTATGCTTTTCACAGATGAGAGCAGGTTCACCCTGAGCACATGTAACAGATGTGAAAGGGTCTGGAGAAGCTGTGGAGAATGTATGTTGCCTGTAACATCATTCAGCATGACCGTTTTGGTGGTGGGTCAGTGATGGTCTGGGGAGGCATATCCATGGAGGGACGCACAGACCTCTACAGGTTAGACAATGGCACCCTGACTGTCATTAGATATCAGGATTAAATCCTTGGACCCATTGTCAAACACTACGCTGGTGCAGTGGGTCCTGGGTTCCTTCTGGTGCACGACAGTGCCAGGCCTTATGTGGTTAGAGTATGCAGGCAGTTCCTGGAGGATGAAGGAATTGATACCATTGAATAGCCCCCATGCTTGCCTGACTTAAATCCAATAGAATACCTCTGGGATATATCACCAGACGCTGCCAGGTTGCACCTCAGACTGTCCAGGAACTCAGTGATGCTGTTGTCCAGATCTGGGAGGAAATACCCCAGGACACCATTTGTCATCTCATTAGGGGCATGCCCTAACGTTTTCAGGCATGCATACAAACACATGGGGGCCATACAAACTACTGAGTACCATTTTCAGTTGCACAAATTAAATTTCAGCAAAATGGACAAGCCTGCTGCAACATTTTTTCACTTTGAATTTTCAGGGTATCTTTGAATTCAGTCCTCTGTAGGTTGATAAATTTTCATTTCCATCAAACGATGGGGCAGCCTTACATACCGAACACATTATCAAATCCATATCAGTATAGATATCCAGCATGATAGTTTTCCCCATTGAGATCTGATGTGTTTTCAAAGTGTTCCTTTAATTTTTTTGAGCAATGTAGAACAAACATAGCCATGTCTTACTACATATGGAAACATATATAAATTAAGTCAATTGTCATCATATCTTAAAATGGAATTGCAGGCAAACTTTATATGTACACACAACGTATATAAACACTGTCTATACACATACAAACATACTGCATACATACATTGATTTTTCATTTGGATACCTACCTTGAATAAATATTCCTCCAATCATAACGGGGATCAGTTTACAACATTTGAAAATAACCTGAGTAGGATAATTCAAATACCCAAGAGAAGTATTTGAAAGGCCCATTGTACCCACAGTGAGGAATGCTATTATTATATAGGTTTTTGCAGGTATTCTGAAAAATAAAGTAAATACAAAACATTCTCAAACATTTATTATGTTTATACCACAGTATATATTGTGTACTTTATTCACTTGATCAAGGTTTTCCATTATGCGGTTATAATAACTGGACACAGATTCAAAACCATCACCCAGGTGAATGATTTAACCGTTTCTAATGGCATTCATACCAAGCAGTATTAGTAATTTGTACAACAGTAACCTAAAATTTATAGAATTGATAAATGACATGGAAAAAAAAAACAAACATACAGAACAAAGAATCATATCTACAGTGCTTGGCTGTTACTATGATAGAAGACCATGTTGTCAATGCTAACTTGTCCTAAAAATACTAGCTGCTTGGCTAGTCTCTCTGACCCATTGTTTTATATACTTGCTGACTTACCGGCTTGGAATAAACATGCAGATTTTCTAATTTACGTTTTACATATTTGTTTTGGGTCTGTGACAAAATTTGGAAGCCAGACAACCAGCATTTCCAAATTAAGCTCAGCACTAACAGACCCAATATTTCAGTGTAGTGTAGGTTTACTACCCACATATGAATTCATAGAGTTAGAGGAGCTTAGTAATCTGATAATTTCTTTCTGGGAGTCAATTCGTTAAATCTTCTTTCCACAGTTCTGGTTCTGTTCCAGCCCACCTTTTGGTATTTACCACAATCTTCAAGACGTAAATATAATTAAAAATGATCAGCAGGGAACATGGGCCCTCTTGGTGCAGGCTACAGCATACGTGTAGTCCTGGGATTTAAGCGCAGGGCTCTTACTAGAATCCCTAAGAGGAGAGGCATCATATTTACATCAAATTAAATGAATTTGAGATTTCTATTTTTAATTGTGTTTTGAAAGTTTTTTTGCTTCTTTTTAAATTGGCAGCCTCAGGTCCCATGTCATAATATATCCATTACAAGCAATGATTTTGAATCGTCGCCTCTTCCACAGTTCACTCAGGGCTTGTTCACGCTATCTTGTGCTGTGGCAATGCTTTATTGTGCACTGTGGTACTTCATTACCACAACCCATTTATTCTGCGCCAAACAAAAGAAAATTTGCTCTCTTTTTAATTTTTTTTTACATCAGTGACTTGCGTTGTAGTGCACTGCAGCACAGGTGGTAAACATTAAGGCCTTGTTCACGCAGGAGGTGCAACTGTGTATGCACTTCTTTGCGCGTTCCTGTGAGGGGCGTTTTAGAGCAGCCCATTAATTTCAATGTCTGCCCTATAATTGAGCAATGCACAAAGGTGCCAGCACACTTTTTAAAATTGTGCCACAAAAAAAAATAAAAATGGAGGGTTTTGCGGGGTGTGCATGCTTGCTAGATGTGTGGGAATGATGGTAAAAATTGTACCTGTGTGCATCTGCAATAGGGCAGCTCATTTTGAGTGCTGCAGGAAAATACACAATTTTGCATGCATTCTCATTCCACACTTGGTGTGAATAAGTTCCAAGACCCCCATCTCCCTCCTTAATATTAAAGAGCAAAGGAAAACGTCAGTTGTGGAGTTTTCAGAAAACAGTGAGTAAAAATGTAAACTACAATTTTTACATAGTTTAAGTAAAATATTTAACCACTTCAATACTGGGCACTTTCAACCCTCCCTTTCCTGTCCAGGCCAATTTTCAGCCTTGAGCACTGTCACACTTTAAATGATCACTGTACCCATAATAAATTTGCATTTATTTATTTTAACACAAATAGAGCTTTCTTTTGGTGGTATTTAATCACCACTGAGTTGTTTTAAATTTTTTGCTAAAAAAAAGACCAACATTTTTGAAGAAAAAAAAAAAAAACAAAAACAAAAAAACCAAACGCATTTTTCTTCATTTCTGTTATAGAAGTTTGCTTATTAATCTTTCTTCATAACTGACAGATTTCTTTCGTGAAAATAACCCAAAAAAGTGTTTAGTATTTAGTCTGTAGGAAAGTTATAGAGTCTACAAACTATGGGATATACAGTATCTGGCCTAACTTATTTCTCGAGGCCCAAAAAAAACTAGGAAAGTACAAATACCTTCCAAATTACCCCTTTTTGCAAAGTAGACAGTCCAATGTATTTAGTAAGAGGTATGGCGAGTTTTCTGAAGTTGTAATTTCTTGTCACAATTTATTGGAAAATAAAGAAATTTTAGAAAGTATTTTTTTTCTCACATACTAACACCAGAGCAGTACAGCGTCATTATATATCTGGTGCGGCATTGTTCAGGGACACTGATGATAGTATGCAAAAAAAAAAAAAAAAAATTCAATTTTTTAAAATATTTTTTTTAACACACTGTGACTGGAGCAATACGGTATAACCATAGTAACACTGTACAACGCGGGGGAAGTGATCAGGAATATTTTTTTAAATTTTTTTTACAAAACACACACTATGATTACTTTTTCCAGTGAATTTTTCTGGTGTAAGCAACCATTTTACTATTGTTGTTAGATGTTTGGCCACAATTAATCACATGGTAAAGATGGGCTGTGATTGGCCCTGTTTGTCCCATGTGATCACCGTGACCAATCACAGAGATCAACACAATAGTACACAATTGATGGCATTAACCACTGGCCCTCCTGATGATTTACCCCCCTTCCTGACCAGGCCATTTTTTGCGTTATGGTGCTGCATTACTTTAACTGACAATTGTGCGGTCATGCAGCGCTGCACCCACATGAAATTTATATATTTTTTCCCATTAACTGAACTTTCTTTCGGTGGTACTTGATCGCCTGCGCATTTTTAAATTTTTCGTGCTATAAGGAATAATAAGACCGACATATATACAGGATATATGCAGTATTTGTTTTTTGTTTTTTTACTATCAATGGCGGCGATCAGTGACTTATAGCGGGACTGCGGCGGACATTCTGACACTGGGGGGAACTGACATGGTGTCACTGACACCAGTACAGTGATCAGTCCTAAAAAAAAAACCCCCAAAAAAACCCCACTGACACTGTACTAATGGCACTGGGCAGGAAGGGGTTAACATGAGGACGATCAAAGGGTTAACTGTCTGGACAGCACTGATTGGCTTTGTGCTGATCACATGCACTTTCCCAAGAAAAAAAAAAAAAATAAAATTCTCTAGCAATACACACCAAACTGAGCATGTGCAGCTTGCCGTTAAAGCTCTGTTCCATCAGCAGATGGATTGGTGACTGTGGAATAAAGGAGGGATCAGAGAAAACAGGATCAGACATCCTTTTTACACAATGCGGAGGAATAACCCCTTCGGTTCCACAGTGAGTAGAACAAGCATGCTTTATGCATATACAGACGGATTTTACTGTTGAGTGTTTAGTAACACTTTAAAGTGGTTCTAAAGTTAAAATTTTTTTTTTACCTTAATGTTAACTTAATTAAATGATTAAAAACGTTTTACCACTTACCCGAGTCCTCTCTTGATCCAGCGCTGTGCCTGGCTGCATCTTATTTCAGCTTCTTCCAGCTCTCACAGGAGACTCAAGCAGAAGCGGAAGCCATTGGCTCCTGCTGCTGTCAGTCAAATCTGTGAGGAGGGCGTGGGGCCAAACTATGCAGCTATGGATGCACACAGCCCAGCTTACCTGCAGATGTGCCCCACAGAACATGGCCTGCTATTGGGGCACATGCAGGAGAGTAGGAGTGGAGAGCGCCAGCAGGGGACTCCAAAACATGATGTTCAGTGACTGCTATGTGCAATACCATTGCACAGAGCAGGTAGGTATAACATGCTTAGCCTTTAAAACCCCTTTAATCTTTTCCATAACTAACTGAATTTATCATGCTGGCAGATCCCATTATTCAGCTGTAAACTATAATTCAACACTCTAACAACAAAGAGTTAAAAGTTCTCCAGACTTGGAATCTGTAGTGCATATTAACCACTTGCTGACCACAGATAGCCAAATGACGGCTTCACTGCAGCCGGCCAGTTCTGGGAGGGCATCATGACGTCCTCCCAGAACACGCTCTCCTACGCGCCCCCAGCGATCTCCGTGATCGCTGTGTCCTATGGACACAGCTGATCACATGGTATGGTAAAAGGCCAATTATAGCGGCCTTTCACCACGTGATCAGCCGTGTCCAATGACACACTGATCACCAGGAAATGCAATTGCCAGTTATTCGGCTGCACTTTCCTCATGCTGTCACAGTGTGAGGAAAGTATTGCAGAGAGCCGGCAGTTGTCAGAGGAGGGATCGACACCGATCATCAGATCAGATGATCAGTGTCCTGATGATCAGTGCCCAGCAGTGCCTCCCACAAGTGCCCAGCAGTGCCGCCCATCAGTGCCATCCATCAGTGCACCAGTCAGTGCCCAGCAGTGCCACCAGTCAATGCCCAGCAGTGCCACCAGTCAGTGCCCAGCAGCTTATCAGTGCTGCCTATCATTGCCGCCTATCAGTGCTGCCTCATCAACGCACATCAGTGAAGCAGAAAAATTACCTGTTTGAAAAATTTTATAATAGAAACAAAGAAAAACTTTTTTTTCAAATTGTTTGCTCGTTTATAGCACAAAAAAGATAAAACACCCAGCAGCGAGTAAATACCACCAAAAGAAAGCAATATTTGTGTTAAAAAAAACTATACAAATTTCATATGGGTACAATGTTGCATGACCGCGCAATTGTCATTCAAAGTGCGACAGCGCTGAAAGCTGAGAATTGTCCTGGGCAGGAAGGGGGTATAAGTGCCCAATAGGCAAGTGGTTAATGAGGAAAAAATGTGCAATCCTGTGTATATCCCGCTCCAAAAAAACAGCCAGAAAAGCAAAAATATATATTTTTTTTAATTATTTTGTTGTGTGAATGGGAACACACAACATAGAGGGGAAAATTTTACTAAAAACTGGTGCAATCAGAATCTGGTGCAGCTGTGCATGGTAGCCAATCAGCTTCTAACTTCAGCTTGTTCATTTAAGCTTTGGCAATAAAACCTGGAAAACTAACTGATTTCTATGCAGAGTTGCAACAGATTTTTCACTCTCCACTTTTAGTAAATAACCCCCACAGTGGTTTTTTTGAAACTTGACAAGCAGAAATACATAAGATCATTTCATTACTTTGTGTGTTTTTTTTTTTTTTTCTTATACCAAGGTCAGTTTTTATGGTCTGCAATCAAGGAATCTACTTATTTATATGTTGTTTCAACTTCATTCTGAAGGTATGAATATTTTTTAAATAAGTGCCGTAACTCACCCTTACTGCATTTTAGCATTGGTGTTCATGACAGTACACAGACAGCCAAAATGAAAAAAAAGTTTAAAGTAGAACTATAGGCAAAACCTTTTTTTTCCCCATTTTGGATAGAGCAAAAATAAAAATCCTGTCAGATTTTATTATCACTATCTGTGTCCCATTGCAGAGATTTCCGTAAACTTCCTGCCCCATACCCAAAAAGGAAGAGGGAGAAAATCCCTGAAAATCAAAGGAATTCCTTGGGGACCCCCAGGTCACCAGATTTAGTGTCCCCATTGGAAAATTTCCCCTCTACTACTTTTGTTGGGACTACCTATAATTTGGGATTATCTTTTACTTTCACTTTCAATGACAATGGCAAACAAGACAAATAGAGAGGGTAAATCTCCTTAATGGGGGCACAGCAATAAAAACGGACAGGTGTTCTAATCCCTCTGCACTCCATCCAAAACTCCAACATCCAAAAAAAGCCTGTTAAAGGAACAAAGATAAAGAAAATAAGAGATAACAAGAAATGTTTGTTCTACACACATGTCCTATACATACCTTCTTCGTTTATCTTGGGTTAACTGTAATTCTATTAATCCAAATACTGAGTAAAATCCAAATTGCACTAATGTCAGATACCAACCAAATGGTTTAAAACCCTCAACTGAGAATATCAATTCCTAAAAAAAGAAAACACACAAATAAATTCATCAATGCAATGGAAAATAAATGACAAAAAAAAAAAATACTTGCCAAATATTGTTTAATGTAAACAGCAGTTTTATTGTCTTGGTAATATTGTGCTTACTACCGAAAAATGTAGAAGTAATTCTCCCTAATTTTATGTTTTCATGAACTCTGTACTCTATTTTATTTTAAATTGGTATACCAATTTAAAATAAAATAGATTATTCCAGGTTTATACACGTACTAATAAATAAAAAAACCTGTCACAAGTCACGGAAAGGCAATCTTGGTATTTAATTAAACATTTGCACACAGAATTGACCCTCAGAGAAAACTACATGACAGAACAAAAAGATCCAGAGATCTCATTGGCTGGAAACTCAAAGTTGCCATTGGTGGTCTAGACTTCAATAAAATCCAAAGCAGACTAGAAATTTAGGCTTCTGCATAAACAAATCTATACCGGATGAGGGTGCGTGTCTCTATGCACCATCTGGCCAACTGATGAATCTAAAATATAACCTTTATTCAAATATATAAAAATGTATGCTCAGCTGTAATTAATGCTTATTGGCGTGGAATGGATACCATTGCAAATATTTATCTTACATCCAAATGGTCAATAACACCAGACCAAATTAAATACCATTTTAGATGAAGTGACCGCATAAAAAGAGACTCTGTAGTTTGATCATAAGCCTATCAGCTTGACTATATAATCTCTATTAAGGAAATGGAGTTACCCCATGGACAAAACTAATTAGTATAATCTGTCTTGCTACAGAAATGTAATACGGTAACACTCATCCACGGCCTAAATTTCAGCCTCTCATCGACAAGCCCCATACATCACCATATCTAGACAAAAATACCTCACTGTCTTGAGGAATGCAAATGATGCACTGTAAAACGCAGTACAGACCTCTCCAAAAAAGGGGAGGGGAGAGGAGTGAATACCACATGTGCATTCAAAAAGTGCTCCCAAAGAAAGACCCAAAAAGGTTATATTTTAGATTCATCAATTGGGACACGCACTCTCGTCCGATATAGATATTTTATTTGCCAAAGATGATGATTTACAATTAGGGCTTAGTTTAATAGTTGATTTATTCTGCATAAACAATAAAAAGGTACTTATTTTACTTTTATGCTGAACTTGTCGAGCAGATAAAATAGGTGAGCAGGAATTTGCTTTTCACATAACTGGATAACTGAAGAGAAGATTCCCAACACCTTTTTTAAATAGGTCACCATGGTGTTGATTTACTAAAACCAGAGCATGCAAAATCTGGTGCAGCTGTGCATGGTAGCCAATCAGCTTCTAACTTTAGCTTGTTCAATTAAGCTTGGACAATAAAACCTGGAAACGAATTGGTTTCTATGCAGAGCTGCACCAGATTTTGCAGTCTCCAGGTTCAGTAAATCATCCCCCATGCATCCAGGCCAGGCATGAGTGAAAGCGATAGGACCTTCTGCTGAGTTTTCTGGAGCTAGGCCATTCACAGTTTAAATGACATTTGCACTTTTAACCTAAATTCCTCTAAACCTACCCCTTCATCTTACCTAAACTAACATGCACTAACAGCACCCACACAAGCTTCTTGCTTACCTCCGTAGCAGAACTGCATCCTGTGCACCGTCCACTTGACTTTGAAAAAGGAATTCCCTTCTGAGATGGCCACACTTACACAATGAGACCTGACAGACCTGTATGGGCTCTCCCAAGACACTGGAACTGCATCCTGGGGCAGGCCTATTGAAGTCTATGCGGTCTCAGCTAAAGCCAGCCCAGAAAAGGATTCCTGCCTAAAGTGAAGTAAACAGTGCACAAGATGCAGCTCTGCTACAGAAGTAATATTCCTACATCCTCTGATGGTGTAACCTCTACTGTAACCTCTACCTCTAGTGTAACACAAGCCTGGAACTGAAATTAATCTCTCTCCAGCACCTGCTATAAAAGGCTAGCTGGGGAAGCACATCTGTAGTTCTGAAGCACCCCCAAAATAGCCATTGCCGCCTTCTTACAGTGGTAGAAAACTTGAAAAAAAAAAAAATTCTGGGCTCCCTTCAAATTTATGTCAAAATATGCACTGCATACTAGCATATAATAACAAACTTACCTTAGACATCGAGCCCTCCAGAAGTGTGCTGTCATCGCTGCAGAGGTTTCTATCTCCACCTGGTCTTCCTTTCGGGTACTCCAACCATTTGAATGACCTGGGCCGCATGTGTACTGCATCCCTGCGCATGCGACATCATCGTCCGTTGCCAATGCAAATATCTCCTAAATAATGCACGTTTAAGAGATACTCATTGAACCTACAGGTAAGCTTGACTGTAAGCTTACTTGTGGGTACAAGTGCACTCCCAGGGTTAACTACCACTTTAAACTAATACTTTTCAAAATTCCCTAACCCCACTTTGTCCTAGACTGGGAGCCACTCTCCACTGTCTATACTTCCTTTTACTACTACTTTCCTGCTATGTCATTGGCAAATTCCTTTGAAATTCCCATCCCACTGCCAAACACAGTGCTGTACACTGTATGCAACTGAGGCTACAAACAATTTATACAGCGCTCACAGCTGCTGCATCTGTTAGTGAAGTAAATTGTTTGTTCATACCAGCTTGGTCCAAACAAACTACTTAAAGTTCACAAAGGGCCAGTTCACACCGCAAAAACACTTTGGATGCGTTCCAGGTCCGTTTTTGCTTACAGTTTTTATGTGTTCCAGTAGAGTTCTGTGCAGAAAAAAAATGCAGCATGTTCTACTTTTTTTCTGCACCTGAACTGATTGCACTGGTGTGAACTAGGGCCAGTGGAATACATGGAAAACATTGTGCATGCATTTTTTTTGCATTGAAAAAAAATAAAAAAAAAAAAACTCGACTGCATCTGATATGAACTAGCCCCAAAACCGGGAGATCAACTTTGTATTTGGCACCACTTTAATAACAATAAATTAACTTTAACAATAAAATCTTGCACCAAATTGTATTGTAACTGTAATGTCTACCTTCATTTTGTAAAGTGCTGCACAAACTGTTGACACTTTATAAATCCTGTATAATAATAATAAATAAAAAAAAAGGACAAAAGCAGCATCAGCTGGATTAATGCTGTCTGCATATTATCATTCCCACTATGTGATTTGGCCTCATGATATTATTACAGGAACATAAATGTCTGAATGAAAATTACCTGTAAATATCCATATATTAAATAAAAAATAAAAACTCCAGTAACACAAATGAAAAATTGCACAGGTTTCTGGAACTGGCTTAGATTAATACCAAGCACCCGGATGTCGTCAACAGACTTGATGTGAGGGGACATCGTATCCGTTTTTGATGGAATACTGATGGAAATGTACTTCCTTGAGTTATTGTATTTCAGATCCATGGTGCTCGGTGGGGAGTCTTCAGGTTCCTCCGACAATTCAGCTGCTTTACCTTTAGAACAACTGAAAGAAAAAGGCAGAATGAATACATTTTAACTAAGGCCTCTTATAACTGGTAGAAAAAGCCATGCAGAGATCTGACAACACATATTCTTCACTTACAGTGCCTTGAATAAGTATTCACACCCCTTAGAATTTTACACATTTTGTCATGTTACAACCAAAAACGTAAATATATTTTATTGAGATTTTATGTGACAGGACCAACACAAAATGGCACATAATTGTGAAGTGGAAGGAAAATGATAAATGGTTTTCAAAATTTTTTTACAAATAAATATCTGAAAAGCTTGGCATGCATTTGTATTCAGCCCATTCTTCTTTGCAAAACAGCTCAAGCTCTGTCAGATTGGATGGAGAGTGTCTGCGAATAGCAATTTTCAAGTCTTGCCACAGATTCTCAATTGGATTTAGGTCTGGACTTTGACTGGGCCATTCTAACACATGAATATGCTTTGATCTAAACCATTCCATTGTAGCCATGGCTGTATGTTTAGGGTCGTTGTTCTGCTGGAAGGTGAACCTCCGCCCCAGTCTTAAGTCTTCTGCAGACTCTAACAGGTTTTCTTCTAAGATTGCCCTGTATTTGGTTTCATCCATCTTCCCATCAACTCTGACCAGCTTCCCTGTCCCTGCTGAAGAAAAGCATCCCCACATCATGATGCTGCCACCACGTTTCATGGTGGGGATAGTGTTCAGGGTGATTTACACCACACATACCATTTTGCTTTTAAGCCACAAAGTTAAATTTTGGTCTCATTGGACCAGAGCACCTTCTTCCATGTTTGCTGTGTCCCCCACATGGCTTCTCACAAACTGCAAACAGGACTTCTTATTGCTTTCTTTCAACAATGGCTTTCTTCTTGCCACTCTTCCATAAAGGCCAGATTTGTGGAGTGCACGACTAATAGTTGTCCTGTAGACAGATTCTCCCACCTGAGCTGTGGATCTCTGCAGCTCCTCCAGAATTACCATGGGCCTCTTGGCTGCTTCTTCTCTGATTAATGCTCTCCTTGCCTGGCCTGGCCTGTCAGTTTAGATGGATGGCCATGTCTTGGTAGGTTTGCAGTTGTGTCATACTCTTTTCATACTCGGATGATGGATTGAGACATCAATCTCCGTGAGATGTTCAAAGTTTGGGATACTTTAATAACCTAACTCTGCTTTAAACTTCTCCACAACGTTATCCCTGACCTATCTGGTGTGTTCCTTGGCCTTCATGATGCGGTTTGTTCACTAATGTTCTTTAAGAAACCTCTGGGGGCTTCACAGAACAGCTGTATTTATACTGAGATTAAATTGCACACAGGTGAACTCTGTTTACTAAATTAGGTGAATTCTGAAGGCAATTGGTTTCACTAGATTTTAGTTAGGGGTATCAGAGTAAAGGGGGCTGAAAACAAATGCATGACACACTTTTCAGATATTTGTAAAAAATTTCGAAAACCATTAATCATTTTCTTTCCACGTCACAATAATATGCCACTTTGTATTTGTCTATCACATAAAATCCCAATAAAATACATTTACGTTTTTGGTTGTAACATGGAAAAATTCAAGGGGTATGAAAACTTTTTCAAGGCACTGTAATAGTAGTAATACACTGGATTTCATGAGTATAAATTGGAGGAAACAACATTTTTGAGCTGCCCACAGCAATGAATTTTACAGCTGTCTTCTAGTACGAGTTAGAAAGTAAAGTAAAAAGTAGGGATCAGGTTGATTACTGTGGACACACATTTCTCCACTTCTTCTACATCAATCCTCTGTTCCCTGAACTCCTCTGCAGTTGATCTCACACAATGAGGCTCATCTTAGGGTTTGCACTTTATGTTAGATTTTACTTTTCCATACCAAAGTCTTTTTACAAAAAGGGATACGGAGAGAATAGCATATGAATAAATAATCTGTTGTTCTGATAATATTATGGTGGGCAATGCTATTGGGCATTGCATTCTCCAGATCTGAAATATTACAATGCACTCTTTACACCATCATGCAATACCTTGTTTTTGTTGGCATGTTAAAATGACTTTCGACTAATAAAAACCAGAACGTGGAACCAAGGTCTTAAAGCTGTAGTAAACCTTTTAAAAATAAAAAAAATATGGTTCTCCTGCAGGTTCAGGTTATAATATAGTAGTATGCACTGCATACTAGTACATTATGACAGACTTGCCTAGTAACGGAACCCTTCAATGCAGCACTGTCATGGCTCCCCCCATGCTTCCATCTTCCTTCCGGGTTTCAGATTTTCAGCGGCTTAAATGGCTGGGGCTGCGGCGACGTCACTCCTAGGCATGCGCATGGGAGTCACATCACTGCGACACACAGAGCAGGCCATTTTCAAGTGGTAGTAAACTCTTTGTATTAAAAATGCACTGACAAGCAGGGTTTTTATAACAGAAGAGACCTTCATTGTCTCCTCTGTCATAAATGTTCCCCCTCTCTCTCAGTGCATTTTTAATACAAAGAGTTTACTACCACTTTAAAATTGATAACAAATGTGACATATTGCATTCTGTGCATCAGTTATTATTTAAACTTCCATATTAAATCCTCATAGTAAGACTTTACTTCACTTTCAGAACCACCACCCTGATATGCACATAACTGACTTCTAAAGCTCCCTTCAGGAGCTTCGGTCTGTATGTATTCCAGGAAGCTGACACATCTTTTATTCACTTTTGCACTACAGATGACATTACTTATATGACAAAGCAGGAGCAAGGTGCCTGGTTATTAAAAGCAAAGCCAAAAAATAACTTGAGAAAAATAAATGGCCAGTTAAAAGATAAAATAAGAAAAACAGCTTTTGTTACAATATTCAGCTTCAATTTAGAGGTTTCCCTTGCAGTCCCTTTTTCTGCTAATAGAGGTCTTCAACTGATGGCCAGCATCTTTCAACCTTTCTGAGCCCAGGTTGTCCTGAACCCAGCAGCTTGTGACTTGAACAGTGAAAGAAGTAGCACAGTGATGAGCTCATCTCATTGTCACTCTGCTTTCTCATCCTATCAGCATGCTCCTGGATAGCACATGAAAAGATTGACTTCTTATGCTGCTACCTGCACTCACTTTTCAATACAGGGACTGATTGAAACAAGGTCTACCTCAGGATGAGGGCTCTCCTACAGTCTTTTAAAGCAGAGCTCCACCCCCTGAAAAAAAAATAAAAGTCAGCAGCTACAAATACTGTAAATAGCAAAAGTACACAAATGAAAATCCCTTCCCTTTGTTCTTCTCAAAACTCCAACTTCTTTTCTGGTCATGTTATTTATCTCTCTGGATCTGCGAAAAAGAATGAAAATTCGTCCAGACTGGCTGTTTCTTCTTTTTTTGGACTGAAAAGCTTTCTTCTTATCTGCCGTCCTGTCCAACACCATCTCCAAATCCGTACGCCTGGAAACTGCAAGAAGGATGCATCCAGTTTCGGTTTCTTGTTTCAGACCAAGGACTCATCTTCCTCAAAGCGGAATCTCCTTCTGAGGGATTTGGAGAAGAAAAGGCCTCACTTTGGATTCTTCCATTCTTTTCTTACTGCATCCGACAAATCTTGATGGACTGGAAAGACTCTGTGTTTAGCCTGTCCCCTGGTACATCTTGTCATGAATGGACAGCCGAACCTTTTCCTCCTGAATTTCCAGTGTTGTGTAAAGTGCCTTTAGCAAGTCATCCACCTCTTCCAAGGATAGCTTATACCTGGATGATCTTGCGATCTCCCCTTCTACCTCCTCCTCCAAATGTTTAAGTGACAGTAGGACACTCTCTCTCTCTCTACCTCTGAATCACTAACCCCAATCTGGCCTGAGGTGGATGGCAGAGGACTGGATAGGGTGCTCTGCTGAGCACCTGGCTGCAGCCCCAGTAATTTATCCAGCAAGGAACAAATTGATCACAGACTCTGTTAACTTCTTCTTGACCAAAGCAAACATGTCCTTGCACTACTGCGAAGACTCTTCCTTGACTAATTCTGCCACACAAGCTCTACATAACGGCTTTGGCCACAAATCCCTAAGGGGATTCTTGCAGAAAGGGCACTTCTTTTAACCGGGGAAACTCCCTTCAACTTGACTGTGGCTTTGGCCTTCTGAAATACAGAAATGGAACAGCAATATAGCCGCATCAGGCTCCTGTCCACCAGGACCCTGACCTTACCCCCCCCCCCCCCCCCATGCCACTAACAAGCCACCATTTTGAAAGTGCGAGAGAGAGAGCAACAGAAGGCAGTTTTCAGCCCCCAGTACCGCGGAGCAACCCCACACCAAGCCATGGAACGTCACCCCTGTGCCCTAGCAGCAGGCTTCCCCTTTAAAGACCCACCAGAGAAGGGAAGGAAACAACACTCCATAATTCCCCACAGCAAGGATAAAAGGCACCACTGTAAGCCCCACACCACCCATTACCTGGGCTAGGCTGGTGCAAGACGCACCTGCTTTCACCACCGCTGCCAGATCCTCTGCCTCTTCCATCCTGCAAAACGTGCAGATATTCTGGTACATGCAGTCCTTTTGAATATCCCGCCAGTGTCCCTGTGCCTCAGGGACCCAGAACCACCAGCCGACCCGCCTCTTCCCCCTGCATTCCAGCAGCTGGAACCCCTGCCACTACGACCCCACCAGAAATCCCACCTCCTGGCTCTGGCATCCCCACTGGCCCGAACCCACAACACACCAGTGGGATGCCACCCTCACTGCACGGCCTCCCACCAGCCGGGATGGAGGAGACCTGCTTCCCGCTTACCAGACCCTCGGGGCCCCTGGACAAGGACTTCAAAGCTGACCACCACTCCCCTGAGCTGGAAGGGGATAGAAGGCACCGAAACACTTCTGTCTGACGGAGAAAGGTGCACTCTCTCCAGGTGCTGTCCTGAAAGGAGATGGGGGGGAAATGGTGACAGGGTAGAGCACAGTATGTGATTGACAACCTCAGCTCTGTTCCTGTG